TTTAAAAATCGGCCCTATTTTATGGTAACTGTGACAAATGCTATAAGGAAATTAAAATAATTTTTTTCCAGATTTCAGCTGTATGCACGTTCGTATATGGACGCTACGCCCCTGGATAAAAGCTGCACTGAAGATAAAAATATATCTAGTTAGTGTTGGGGGAGGAATCATTACAAAGTACGCGGCTTTAATCTTGTTGACGCGAGACTCATAAGACCTCCCTAAAATATCCGATGAACTCTTCATCAAATATTTAGGAAGTCCGTTTTTCTACAATCGAAATTAAAGATCAAACGACCCTGTCATTTTAATCTTTCAGACTGCTTTTCATTACCGCAGGAACACCCGCTGGACTCAGTGAAATGCGAGTGTGCGAGGAAACGCGCCCGTCTGGAAAAGGGGAGTCCGGAGAGCAAAAAAGAAAGGTCACACTAACCCCCTCATGTGCTGTTCGCTAGTTTGGATAAACCAACACTAAACTAATGAAAATTCGTGCATCCCATTAACTCTTCGTTCCGGCTTACGTCAGTACACACGTTCTCCATTCTGTTCCATATACATGTCCTACATGTCCTAAATAAGGAACTGAAAAGGAGAATTTTTTAACAACCATGCAGTTGCAAGCGTTTCTTAAGTTAGTGATCATTTCCTTTATTCTAGTGATCTTAATTTTTTATTCAGGGGTGAAATTCTAAGGAGAAATTTACGGTGGTTCTCAAGGGCCATCCATCCGGCCTACAAAAATTTTCATCACTTTATCGCGCGATAAGTTTTGCTAAGTCCATTCATTCAAAAAATTTGCAATCAACATTATCGCGCGATAGAACAACTTATCGCGCGATAGAACAACTTATCGCGCGATAGAACAACTTATCGCGCGATAGAACACTGTATCGCACGATAGAACAACTTATTGTGCGATAGAACACTTAAGCGCGCGATAGAACTTATCACGCGATAGAACATTGTATCGCGCGATAGAACAACTTATCGCGCGATAGAACAACTTATCGCGCGATAGATAATATTATCGCGCGATAATTTTATTACTAGCTCCCATGGCCCCACGATCATTACCACGTGGCCACATCCATAGCAAGATGGCGGACCAAAAGGTGAGTAATTGTCCAAGAAATAAAGACTTTTATTCTTGATTTTTGAGCAAGAGACGGTAATCTTTGGGTTAAATTAAATTATATTTCTATGCTTTCTTAGCAAGTGGGGTTAAAGATCTGAGAAGATTCTCCAAACTCTGATATAACGCCAAAACACACCCAAGTACGATATTGAAAGTTCAGTGCATGAGTTAATCAAGCTTTTTATGCTTTCTTTTAAAGCAATACACAGCAATGTTCCTTGTGTTTTTCCTACGGACTATTTTGTACAACGATTGAAACCTTGATTCATATTCAGCAAACGTTCAAAATGAAAGTATGAATTTTTCTTTACAACAAAGTTTCAATTCTTAATCCATGCCATCCATTTTCCTACCTTTATTTATTTCATTACAATTTTATTTTTATTTATTACAATTTAATGGCTCAGACACAACAAATAAAGTTATAAAGTAAAAGCGAAGAGAAAATAAACGCTATATGGATAATCCGTAAAGGAGTCCAGGACCCCATATGAAAACAGATCACCAAATTAAATACGTAAGTTAATAGTCACGAGATCAAATTTCCCTCAGACCAAGAGTCTCGTTAGTCGAAATTAAAGCAGAATTTCGCATTAGCAAAAGCTTTATTCGATAATATGTTAATATTGCTTCTTCAGCTCTTCAAGATTCTCTTGATCACACACACACACAAAAAAAAAACTACTTCAATCGGTTTGTTTTGCAATTCGGGGGCTGTAATTCTTGTGTTAGTTTAAAGACGCATCTCTACGCCTTATATTCATGAACAATCTTTCACCTTATATACACCTTACATAGTTTAAAAACGTATCCCTACACTTTATATTCATAAACAATATTTCAAATATAGAGCAATAAAGTCCCTCTCAGATCTTTAACCCCACTTACTAAGATAGCATAGAAATATAATTTAATTTAACCCAAAGATTAAATTGCCGTCTCTTGCTCAAAAATCAAGAGTAAAAGTCTTTATTTCCTGGACAATTACTCACCTTCGAAACTTGGTCCGCCATCTTGCTATGGTCGTGGGGCCATGGGCGCTAGTAATAAAATTATCGCGCGATAATATTATCTATCGCGGAATAAGTTGTTCTATCGTGCGATAGTGTTCTATCGCGCGATAGAGTGTTTTATCGCGCGATAAGTTGTTCTATCGTGCGATAAGTTGTTCTATCGCGCGATAAAGTGTTCTATCGCGCGATAAGTTGTTCTATCGCGCGATACAGTGTTCTATCGCGCGATAATGTTGATTGCAATTTTTTTTTGAATAAATTGACTTAGCAAAACTGATCGCGCGATGAAGTCATGAAAATTTTTGTAGGTGGATGGCCCCTTGAGGGCCACCGTAGAAATTAGATGCTGGTCACTCACTAGGGACAAAGGTTTTCATGGTGCAAAGAGAATTACGGTGTATTGACTTGTGGGGCCCGGTAATACTGAAGTCTCCAGCTGTTTGCTGTGCCGGAAAAGAAGACAATAAGAAAGGAAGAGAAACAGAAAAAAAGAAACCAAAAACTAAAAACAAGGAATAATAGTAAGTTTCTATTTTAACTGTACCAAATTTGTTGTTAGTGATCAATTGCTTTATTCTCATGACCTTAATGCTTGATTCAAGGATCAATGTGAGGAGAAATAAGATCAGTGCTAGTCACCGGCTTAGGGCCAGGTTAAGGGATATAAGAAATAAGATCAGTGCTAGTCACCGGCTTAGGGCCAGGTTAAGGTTAAGGGTTAATAAGCTCATGAGACAAACGCCCTAACACAGGTTTCGATACTGCAAGGATCTGAATCAGTAAGGGATACATGCTTAAACTCTATAATTAATGTACGAACATTTTGCTCATAAAAGCAATGTGGCTTAGACCTCTCGTAGGAGAGCGCCGCCATTGTAAGTGATCGTTTTGGCATAAATTCTATAGTTTTCAATCTGCTTTTAGTAACAACGTATTCGACTTTACTGCGCAGGTGTCAACTGAACCGGGAAACATGGCGTCGTCTTATAAGCATATAATTAACGTTAAGTTTGAATGACTCTACATTGATCAGTAAAGAGTTAATCGGACATTATTACAGCTTTATAACCGCTAAGGACACCAAGACTTTTTCCCAAGAGAGGAACGATACATGGAAAAGAGAAATGTCAGAAACTAACAGCCCATTTCCGAATTACCCTCGGCCTCTTTTTCAAAACGAGGCCTGGTGCTCAACCATTCTTGTGAAAATTATCATATGAAAGGATAAGCACCAGGACTCGTTTTGAAAATGAGGCCCAGGGTAATTCGGAAATGGGTTATTAGAATGTTCAAATATTCTAGTCCAGAATTTCAAAACGATTTTTGGATTTTTTTACTCTCCTCTTTGGGAATGGATTAGTTTATTATTTTATACTCGGTGTCCATGCCGTTGCTCGAATAGGTTTGTTAAAAGAGCAGTCACTGATGCCATCACATACAAAGCTACATTAATCAAAGAGTGTTGTTCACCAGTTAACTGTCGAATGCTTATTAACTGAATTTGAAGCAGGAGAAAAAGCCATTCAAAAACTATTTTCCTTGAGATTTCTGCACTACACAAGTATCCGTTTTGAAGAGTAGAATTTGTTAGAGTCCTGAGTCGGAAAACGATAAGATTTCTCCATCTTAAGTATCTTAGCATCTACTCCTGATTATGGATGGATGGATGGATGGATCGATCAGAATGTGGACATTAGAAATCGAAAAAACGACCATCAAACATAATTATTGATAACGAAAGATAACTGAGTAATTTCTGTAATCCTAAATCAAATTTTATCTCTTCCACCGCCCGACTAAATTTCTCATCGCTCGCGTGCAGAAGATGGCTGGAAACATGATTACAAAGAGTAAAAAATAAACTGATCAAACCACGCTTAGAATCACTTAAATGGTGATGGAAATGCGTCAAGAAAATCCTTAGAAAACTTTTGTCATCACGGTGAAGAAGTGATAATTTGGCAAAATATAAAGAATTAAGGATAATTTACTATGAAAATATTTATGAAACCCATGATCGCGAACTCATTCTGGCATTTTGTCAGGTCCAAGGTCGTCTTTGTATGCATGTATGGTAACCACAGCGGAAAATGTGGTATTTGTATTAGCTAATGAATTTTAGATGAAAATCTTCTAGTCGAATTTTCGAAACCTTTATGTCCCCTAAATGCAGGCTTTTATTTCATCATGTCACAGGTAAAGAAAGAAGCAAGTATGTCGTGATCGCACAACAGGGAAATGTATTTCATTAATCGTCTTTTTTTTTAAGAATTTCCTGTCATTAAAAGCAAATCAAAATAGCATCAACGATTTAGGTGCGTTATACGAATGTTAAATTTTCATTTAGTACATGTTTTAAAAATCGTTTCAATCTTTGTACGTGCAGCGCACATTAAGTCGTCTGAAGAAATTGTCGCCAAAAATAGTTAAACCAATCCATGCAAGTTTGATATCAAATTTTTTCCTTGTTTCAAGTGCAGTGGTGAAAAATTAAATGTCTCCCGTTACTAGAGCTATTTTACTCCGTAACAGATACGTGAATCCCGGTTGACCTGAAGGAATATCACAGAACTATGCAAAGACGTTAAAACTAAGGATAGTACCAAAAAACTGGATTTTCTTTAACAAGGACGTCGGACGCTTGTAGATGAACTAAATTACGATGTTACTAACATAGCGCGAATAATTGAGACGGGAGCTGTTCGGAGAAATATGATAAAATTGTGAATTTGCTATTTATTAAAACAGATTCTAAGAGGTCAATAACGAAAGATATTCCGTTACCGTGCAGGTCTACCAATCACAATGCTTGCCTGTTGGGAGAATAACAAGCGAGGGAAATTCAATAATTCAGATTAGCAAACGAACGGACGCAAGCTACATCAGATAGGAAATAAAGGTAGAGACCCTCGCGACAGGACAACTGCTTCTGAGGTAAATTTAATTATCACTGGTCATAGAATTTCAAGTTCATTGTGTCATGTGAACGCTCGAGGGCAGGTTTTTTTAAGCGTAAAACCACAGAATAAAACGGACATTTTCTGCCACGAGCAAATTCTAGGGAAACTGACAGTTAAACATTTTTGGCGCGCTAACAGTATCCGCGATATCGAATCGTCCATAGTCAAAATGCACTTTTGGTCGATCAGTTTTTATCTCAACTCTGGTGAAAACGTCTTTCCTAAATTTGAAATCTGCATGGAAAATGAATTATATTTATCTAAGGTACGTAATCAAATAAAAAATCCAATGATTGCATTGTTATTCTTTAGATTTCACGGTCAATAGGTTTCGTTATTACCCATATTTGAAAGTGGGTTTTTTTACTTTAGTTATCTAGGCACTCCTGAAGATCTAAGCTTGCATCTTTTTCGGCTGTTTAGCCTCCAAATCATATTTATCTGAAGCGATTTTTCAACGTCTCACTTTGATAAATTTAAAGAAACAAAGGAATCGCATTAATTCAAAGCACCTGAAAGATAATAATGTTGTTGCTATTTATATCTTTATTCGGCAACCTTTGGGGCCCATCACAAAAGCAAATTACAATAACTATCACACGTTTGGAACAAAAGATATGCCACCAAAGCCTCTATTGCTCTCACCAGAACCCGCAGCAAATCTGGCAATCATTTTCACCTGTTTAAAAGAAAAGCAATTAATAAATCTCTCTTCTATTTTATGTAGACAATGAAACGTTTGTAACAACGATGTTAACAAACTTTCGTGCCAATTCTTTGTCTGAAAAGCAATTCAAGTGTCACAATTTCAAGAAATATCGGGCCTGTAAGGCAAAGGAGAGTTAATTTACAGCGGTACGACTTTCTATTAATTTGAAGCCTTTTCCTGTTTTATCAAACGATTTTGGCTGCCCAAAGAAATGAAAACACTTAGGTGCCGACCATTTAACTCTTGAGGGGGGGGGGGGTGGGTGATTTTGAAAAAAAATTTCCTGCAAGCGCTTGTTAGAAGAAAAAAATTTGCGTGCTGCCCAAATGTAACAGAAAAAAAATTCTTGCGTTGCTGTAAAAAAGAAAAAAAAAATGTTGCAAACCATCATATTGCTTTTATGTTCAACTTTGCATTAATTGAGGTACTCAATGTAGAAGTGGAATGAATAAATGCTAAGCAAAAAGTATTAGAGCTATCGTAATCAACTAAATTCAATTTTGCTTTCACATTTGTTTTGGATATTTTAGTCCACTTTTATATTACAACTAATGATTCCAGCAGCATTTACCATGCTATGAACATTTCTAAACTGCTTTCTGCTATTTTTGGCTTTTTTTTGTTAATTAAGAAACTAAACGTTTTCACATCTGCCTGTGGTGCATCACTTTATTTGACGTAATATAAAATGATTGTAAAGAATTACTTTCCGAAAACATAGCTATATCAGAACTATTGCTGCAATGACCACAACGTAAATGTAAATACATTTTGTATATGTAAACACATGACCCTTTTTTTGAGGAAAAAAAATCCTGCAGAGAATCAGGAGGGAAAAAAATATCCTGCAAAGCATTTGAACGGAAACAAATATCCTGCCCAGCAGATTGCTAGAAAAAAAATTTCTTGATGACCAGAAATCACCCCCCCCCCCAAAAGTTAAATGGTCGGCCCCTTATTTAAGCCTTTCAGAGGCGCGAGTGCCTCTCTATGAAATTTCGCGAAACGCGATGTATGTGCCATCCGAAAAAGTTCTAAACATGTTTCTGGAGAAATTGAAACGCGACTGATCTCTTAATTCGAGACCAAACTGTGTTTCTTTTGAATCAGATTTCTCGTTCTTGCCGCTTACCATGGACAAATAATCAATATTTTTATTTGGATTAACCTCATGTCTACGTTGAGGACAACTTATTCATGTAATGAGAGAAAATTTATACTTGTGGTAGCGGGTAAACTTGACTCTTCTTTGCTGCTAAGTGTATAATCTCAACCGGTTGCAGGCATGCAGTTAGGGGTCGTCAGTGTTAAGTCTAGAGCATGAGCACTCTACTGCTCAGGGCTCAATTTTGAACACAGAAACACCACGGAATGTGAATGCTCCCGTGTTAACCGCCGCATCGGCCAAGGCGTCGAGAGAGAGTCGGCCGAATGTTCGCTCGAACTGTCTACCGTTGTGTCGGATACCGCCTGTCGCACGTCGGTAACTTGTCGTTAGTGCGTCGTTTAAATGTTAGTGATGACATCCTTTTTTACCTTCTTGAATTTGTTAGTATTTCCTTATCTTCGTCAGGAGTAAACTGATCATAATCAACTCTACGTGGACCGAACATGTGGAACATGTGATATCTGAAGTGAACCAAAGATTAGTTCTTTTGCGTAGGATCAAGCATTTGTTGCCGCACAATGCGACCTCGTTCCCAGGGCCTTTTAATTCCCTTAGTTACAAAAGCCTTGTCCTTGCCATCCGCCTTGATTATGCTGATATGGTATGGGGTGATAAGGATAACACTATCTTAATGAGAAATCTGCAGGTGTTGCAAAATAAGGTGGCAAAACTTGTTCTAGATAAACCATTGTACTCTTCTGCAACCGATGCTCTCAATCAGCTCGGCTGATTAAATTTAAAACAACGCAGGCACTTCCATCGCTGCTTGTATGTTTATAAATGCGTGAATGGAATTACATCTCACAAATTGGAATTATTAAATCTTTTAATCTATAGCCTACTTTTGTACTCTTTTTAATATCTGCAATTTGTGTACTTATTTTTAACAATTTAATGTTATTTTGGATCAGGACCTCTCTGTAGATCACCTACTGGTGAAATGCATTGCGTGGTTCAGAATTTTAACAATTTTTTCGGCGGCTAAAAAGGGCGTTCAAGGAATTCCCACAGGCTCGTTAGTTCGGAGATAAGCTCCGTTTTCAACTATCTACGCATTACAATCTAGCACGCTGGAAAAACAAGGAAGGAGCGTATCGTCATTGACAGAAAGCCAGACCGGATTCGCCAAGACTTGAAAACTTGATTTGACGTATCTAAGGTGGGGCGAAGGTCTGCCAACTAAATAGGAGGGCCAGAGGCTAATAAGGAGAATTTTCTGGGGGTGGAGTTCTATACTGGCATATTACTGGTGCTAAGGGATGTTCAAGGTTGTTTTCTTAAGAAATAATCACTTTTAGAGAAAAGATCGCATGCACCTCAAGACCACTCCTCCATCTGAGCTATGTCTGCAAATACTTGTCTAAGGTGGTCAGTACACTGATTTTCACAACAAAATTTCAGGTACGCCAGTGCAAGTAAAATAATAAAAACGTTAAATTAAGTCTAAAGAATCTATGAATTTTTGTAAGGAGCCCATTACTGGGCTCCTGATTTTTGTCTGGATATTTTGCAATAATATTTTGTTTTGTCTGAATATTTTGTTTTTTTAAAGAATTCCGTAGCTTCGTTGCGAAAGATCTCCAGGACCTTACTCGTCCTTTGTCCATAAGTTGTCAAATTAACCTTTCCAAGTACAGTCTTATCGAACCTTAGAGATTGAAAAAGGTACACCTCAAGTTTAATTAAAAGGTCAGGCAGGCCTTTCAAAAGGCAGCAATCTCTGCATTCGTTTTGGTACACCCTTTTTGACTCAACTTCATACAAAATCAACATGGATATCAAATATAAGTTTATCCTCAATTGTTAAACCAAGCAGTTCCATTGTTATTTGAGTCTGGGAAAGTCTACCACGCCTCGTTCACACCCCCATTGTTCTGAAAGTTCCATTGTCTGGAGAGGTTTACCGCACGCTATCGATAAACCAGAAATTTTCATCAGGATAAGTTCTTAGGGTCCTTAGGTCGACATGTTTGGTTTAAAATTCTTTTTGTTTGTTTATTTGTTTTTCTTTTTACTGGTAAGTGATACGAAATGCCTAATTGTTTTTCTTCTTTTTTTTTTTTTAAAGATGTCTCCTAGAATATTCCAGTGTCTATTACTAGTGTCGCTGACCTACTTGGTTGCGGGGGAACTACGAGGACTGTTGCCATATTTCTTCAAACGTGAACCGCCGAAAAATCTCAAGGAAAAAGTATTTCATTGGTCTTCAGTTTATCAAGATGACGCATGGGTAAGAAATTCAGACAGATGCTTTTAATATCTGGGAACTGAGTGTGAATTGGAGGTGAAAGCGGTATCATATTACTGTCGAGATTCGTGATTCGTGTCTTTAAGTCCGATTGCTCATGATTTTAAAACAATGTTTTTTACATCTGGTAATTTATGTGATTCCAAAGTTTTAAACACGAAATGATTAACGACCCGCTATGATTCATGACAATTTAAAAAGGGAAAACCGTCATTAAGTCTGATGAACAATATGTTGATATTCATTCTGGCAATGTTACTGACAATATCCTTTCATTTAACTTCCACAGTGCTCTGAGGCTTGTGATGCAAAAGTGTGTCGCATGATTGAGAAGAACGGAAAGTTTAACCTGTGGTTTAGTGACTGTGATTGTGGACTCCATTGTCACTGCCTGTACACTGGGTTAATGCATAATGTATACGTCTATAAATGTATGCCAGCATTCTGATTCATGCACTTTTACAGTGTAAATGTTACTTGTTATTCTGTCCAGCGTTTTACACGTTCTGTTGCTGTCTCTGTGTGGAAAAACACCTTAACTACAGCACATGAACTGCACAAGAAAGATGAATTCTCTGTCCCTTCTCAAGAGTAGAGACTGAGAAGAGCCTTCGGTTGGTATCATTGTCAGTTATCTTAGACTTCAACAGAATATGATTGTCGTTTGTTCGTCAACTAAGTATTTCTAAGTAGCAAACAAAATTTAGCTGCGTAAGAAATTTTTCAATGCCTAATTTCTGTTTTTTTTTTTTCCTTCTAAATTTGATTTCGCCTGAGCCTGTGAGCGCTCCTCCGCACGCGAGAAGCTTTGAAACGAGTCGGAGAGACGGTTTTACCAGGGATCTGGCGCTAATAATGAGTGCTAGAGCCCTGACAGACTTATAGCGGGCTCGTGTTACTCGAGGCCCCATACTTTCCCGCGGGCGAAGAAGCGCTCGTGCCCAGGCGCGAATAAAGAACGCCTACTAGGTAGCTACGTTTTCTCCAAAAAATTTACATAAGAATAGGATATTTTGACGAAAATCAACACAACGGTGTATGGCTAAAGTTCAGTTTTAACTTTTGTAACTTGATCTAGTTAGGAAAATAAAGATCTGGGGATATTTTGGGACATATGGTTTGTTTATAAGCATGCGCAGAAATCGATCATAGAAAATTTGACCTCGTCCTGAGGGCTCAGTTCTCGGTCTTCGAGGGGTTGGGGAAGGAGGCCGGTGAAGGCAGCAATTATCCTTTTAGATCAAGCCAGAACTATCCTGGGTCCAGTCTCTTTTCACAATTTTAAAATTCTCATTAGAAGGTTTTTGTTTCAAACTGTAAACGTTTTATTGATCCTCGTCTTGCAACCGAAAGCCTAGAAATGATCAGAGTTAGACAAATGGTAATTTTTTTTTTGAGCTCGATCATGAAACAGAGGAAGAGGTTCTTTTCGTCTTGTAATAAGAGTATGACAAGAAATAGAGTCTCCTTAACGAATTAATTTTCACACCTTCAGATGCTCGCAAAGTGTAAGAAAACAAAAGGTTGGGGTTTTTTGGGGGGGAGGGGTCTTCCTTGAATTGTCACTAAATTTTGTCACTAATAAAAGACATAAAAGTGCTACTGAGACCAAATTTAGCGTTTGCCAGATTTTTCACTTTTTAGAATCCTTATCGGCTACTTACCACTCTCACGAAATTTGGAATGAAAATTCAAAGTGGAAGTCTGTTTTCTTTTAGACTTGTTTTCCTCGATTCAACGTCCGCCATTACTCATGCCTTCAAACTGCGAAATGGCCGCGCGTAAGTCTGTGACGTCATATTATCCCCTAAACTTTTGCGCAGGCTCTTAACCAAGAAATGGACGGAGATTATTGTACCTGAATAGTTCAAGGAGAGTCTTATCGTCGTTTTGAGGCCGCAAATGGCACCTTTGAGTTAGTTGTGCAAGATTGAGCAATTAATATTTAATACAAATGCTGAAATATCGCTACACAGGCCAAACGAAATAGTTACGAAAGCTAATGGATGCCATTCGTACGCCTACATCGCTCAAACCTCCACCCGAAAGGAGTATCGACGTAGATTAGGCATGAAGAAGGATTGCCCCGGGTGCCATACCTAGAATATGGAAAACACTTTTCAGCTGGCCATGTCTCCAAGAAGTCGTCAAAGGGCGAGTGTTGTTAGATCGTGATCGTTCCGTTCGTTCTCAACTCACGTTTTCTAGACTTCGAGAACATGCAACGATTGAACTTTCCGTGAGTTAAAATTGTTTTGATTTTCTTTGTTATCTATTCATTTATTCTCAACTGAGACTCATAATCCGCCATGTAAGATTTGTACACAAAAATATTTGTTCTGCTGGAATAAAGTGTTACCTTTCCTTTTAAAATTGCTTTATTAAGGCAATATAAGCTTCAATTCATGAATATCAATAGGTCTATATTGCTGTAGTAGTGTGAACAATTTTCTACATTCCTAACTTAACCAGGCCTGACAAAAGCCATGGAAAAGGCCTCTGCAGTTGAAAAGATAACCTTTCTGGCAGGCTACCATTCTGTGGTTAATCAATTTGCCCCAAAGATGTAGACCAGCTTTTAGCTGTACTCTGCAGGTTTATGAAATTTCATTTAAAGCACAGTACAGGTAGTTAATTTCACCGTATAAGAAGAGCAAAGCACCAGGTACTATTTTGCTAAAAACAGAATACTTTCATTAACTAAAAAATTATCAGGAGTAATTATATTTTGGGGGGCAGGTCAAATTAGTTCCTCCATGATATGCATAGCATGACCACACTGATAACTTCAAAGATGAAAGGTTGTACGCGTACGTGTACATTTATTTACTTATAGTTATGGTTGACCATATTATTCTGTTTTCTAATTCTTGGTTCTAGAAACATTTGGTAGTCAATTACTTATTCTCAATTATTTTGACAAAATGGGCTATCAATCCTGCCACTGGCAGCTTGAAGGGAAACAAAGGTGGAAAATCAAGGCCAGCCTCGTCTTAGGGTAACCTACCCAAAGTACAAGGATGTAAAGGAAATGTCATGACAGGCCAGGGTAGCATTAAATTATGGTGAAGCTTTGCGATATATCCAATATTTCTCCTCAAAACAACAACAGTCATTCATGGACCCCTCATCGGAAGAAACAGAACCATTTCTGACGTTTAAAATAAAGAACTGCGACGATTTTGGAGCAAGATCGCCACTGGATTTACTATTTACATCAACAGAGCTTCGATGAAAGGAATACTATGATGTCACAATGGAGAAAGACGGTCAAAATTATCATTGGCTCAGAAGTTGTAGTTTGAGCAATGGCGGACGAAATTTAGTGGCTTTTAATCAAGTTTTTTTCGGACTTTGCTAACCGCGATAAGTCTAAATTGTATTTTTCCTTTTCGTTTAGGATCTAAACTTAAATTGTCGGCATAAAAATTTTGTTCTGAGGAACATCAATTTTCGTCTCAGTAGCACTTTAAGTCTTATGATTAATGTTTAATGCTTATTCTTTCAAGGATAGCCAGACTTGACACACTTGCTTGATCATGAAAATATTTTCATTCGGTTTGCTTTCCTCCTCGTTAGTAGCAAGAGAGAAAGATGTATAACATGGTAAGGAAATTAAGCTATGGCGTCAAAACAGAATGAATTTTGGTTCCTTCGAGCTCGTAACAAGAAGATAAATTTCCTAGTTCCCTTTCATTGGATATACTTACGTGGCATTTCAGTTTTTCATAATAACGTTGAATTGTATCATTTTTCGACAAGAAAATACTAAAAGCAGTTATAAACTAAAAATAAAATTATGAAGAAAAGAGGATGAGCAGACGTGGGGTGTCATTATATTGGATGATACTTGTGGATGTGGTTGAGAATGACTTCAGTTGTGGTTTGCCGGTACACTGATGGGAAAGACCATCAACTTTGTTACAAAAGGAACCCACACAGTTATATTGATCACCATTCCCGGAATCTTCCGTAGCAAAGTGGTTGAATTGTGGGTAGTTGAGTTCCTTGTAGTATTACAGGAACTTTTTTAATAAATGATGCTCAACCTGAGATTGCACTTATTCCTGAATGACTTTGCGTTTTTACTAGTTGAACAAGGTAACACGGGCTTTTAGCAGATATCGATAGTTTGAAGTCAGTGCAGTTTTTTTCGACTATTTTTAAGCCCTCGAAGACAAAACTGTTCAGTAGCCAGAAGCTTGGATTACCCATAGTGCTAAGGTATGAACAATTTTCTTGTTTCGAATTATTCGTGCTCCGACCGTGGACATAAAATCTCAGAGAATTATAGCTATTTCGCTGTCATTTTACTCCTTCCGACCTTTCTAATAATAATAATAATAATAATAATAATAATAATTCTCACTGCTAATCGTCGTCGCAAAGTACAGCAACGACGCAGCTCAACAAGGTCGAACCGAAAGCTTAAGGTCTTTCTAAGCTTAAGGCCTATGTAGTAATTCAACGAGATGGCGAAGGCAACTTTCTCATATTGCCACGAAACACTGGCCCCCTTTAAACTTATTCTTCCCACGGATTTCATGCCGACCTCATCTCAAATTCACCGGAAAATTATGATCAATACTCAATACAATAAGCTATCTTTAAATATAGTACACAATTTACTCGTGGTGTATAAGCCGAGAAATCAGTGTTCAAAACATCTAACAAAACTCGCATGGTATGATCTGGATAAGAGTGATATGTAGAGAAAGTTGGTTCCAAAGATGGTTCAAATAGTTTTTCCTGTTTTCTCTGCTATTACGTTATTCCGCATTATCTGTAAAGGTCGGTCTTTTGATGTTGACCTGAGTAGTGCCGTTTTAGGGATGATCATTCTTGTGCACGATGTTTTACAGGAATAAATAGCAAGATTAATATCACAACATAGTAAAAAGTGATCGCATTTTTCGGCCAATTTTACCTCGGGTTTTTAAATTAGCCTAAAAAATAAACTGGCCAAAACTAGATGACACTTTTTGACTTAGTGTTCTTTTTACTATATCCGTTGTACTTCTGCAGCTGAGTGTTCATTTTCTGTCTCCTCGAATGTGGAATTAATCCTTTAAACCCGGCCTCTAAAAGTGACTGGCTTTTAATTTCACCTTACGCTATGATCGCCCTTGGAATCAAATGCAAAGGTCATGAGAATAAACGAGATAATCGCCATTCGAAGAAGCTCCTGATTGTAAAACAAAAAAAAGTTATCAGCACAATAGAAATGTAAAGAGAAGAATGCGGAGTACATGAGCATTGATTGCCAACGAGCCAACCGAGCGAAGACGCGAGGCTGGCGAGGCGGCAGCATTATAGAGCCATGCGAAAGTATTGTGCAGGCGGAAAAGATCTCGAGAGATTGTGAGAGACATGTTTGTAAGGTAAGATTCCTGAAATTCCAATGACGTAATGGAAAAGAGGTCGATTGTCTTGCAACGGACCAATCTTAACGCGCAGAGATTGTGACGTCAAGCCCGTATGGTTCTGATGATCGATGCTCAGCAACTTTGGCATTCATTGTGTGGAGATGTGATCAAGTTTGCTTTGATTGCTTGCTCGTTGACACTTAGCGAGAGCTACATCTAGTATAGGGCAGTTAAGAGTTAAGGAGTTGTTGTTCGTCACAATCACGATTATTTAGAGCAGTTAGTGTCACAGCACATCATACCCGCTCAAATTATGTTTCATATTGCGACTTTTGTACTATGTCTTTGAGGTTCTGTTAAATTAAAAATCAACAAGAAATATATCTGATTTGAAGGTAGATTGAGGTTAGATTTGGTAAATGGATGATTTTTCATAACTTCAATTAGTATTTCTCCTGCACAATATTGGATCTAGGATACTTGTGATAAAACCAACTGAAACGATAAAAAAACAGTGAAACATCAAAAGCATGGCTTTTCAAGGTGTTTTCTCTCACTAGGACTAGTCGTTTTAAATGTGTTTTTGAATTTATCGACTTCACATTTTAATGATCCTTTAGTAGAAAGGAAAACCAGTTTTATGGCCGAAACGTGAAGCTCGAGGGATTCTTAACTTAGAACGAATCTAAAAAACGACGTTAGAAAGATGTTTAGTAAATTATTACAACGAATCTGGCAGGTTTTGATTGCTGTCATCGAAAGAGATACAACCAATTCAAATCTTTAGTCACTCGTTGGCAACATTTAACATACCAATCTACAGAGAGCAAAGCATTTTAGCACTTATTTGCCCGGCAGAAAGAAGAATAAATGGCGATTAAAACCGAGAGATTCTTAAAACGAAATCAGCTTTGTAATCTATCGGGCCCTCACTTCACTACGCAACTCGCTTAATTGAACGATCACAGCGCGTGTGACACTGAGGAGATATAATGTCCACAGTGGGGGGGAAATGGAGGAGCTGGAAAAATTGTACTTTCACGTAGAGGCACTTACTTGTAAACAGTTCCTATTGCTACTGGCTCAGACAAAACACCGCCTCCCGGTTAGCTCAATGGATAGAGCGCTGGTCTGTTGTGCGGGAGGTCGAGGGTTCGAGCCCCAGCCGGATCAACACTCAGGGTCTTAAAATAATTGAGAAGAATTTGGTGCCTTTCTATAACTTCAAGAAATGGTTAGATATTCTATTCTTCTCGGATAGGGACGAATAAATGGAGGTCCCGTCTCCTGCAGGGTTGGGGTAGGAGACGTTAATTTCCCACATACGAGATTACTGTGTGATGGATGTCCTCCCCTGGGGTGGGATGGGTGGGATATTGGGCGCACTTAATTTGGAGCCTAGCTCTGTTGTGCGACCCTCACCATACTCTGGTGAAAGTGATTAAAT